GTTTTGTTTTATTTAATATTATGATTTAATAAATATAATTTTTAATTTTTTAATCATTCAGTCATATAAATATAATTTTTAATTTTATTCTAAAAGTACTTTTTAGCAACCTTCTCAAGAATCTAACAAATATATCATTCACAATCCTGAAATAATTTGTGTTGCAAACCAAATTTATAGATTGAACATTGGGATTATATAAATCTCAAGAATTTAATAATGGAGATCCTCTAATGTACTTTTCACCCTCTGTAATATTATTTTAGATAGATATTAATGAGAATAACCTAGTCAAACCATTAGCTAACTCACAATATTAATATCTACTCATATTTTAAGTTAAAACTACAAAACATTAGGGAAAAAATCCCAAACGAATATGAAAAAATCACAAAATAATTTTATTGGAAAAAACATATAGTAAATAAAAGTAGTATTAGTACAATTAAATATAGATAACTAATAATAGCTCTACATTAATTATTTAATGGACAGTGATAGATGCTGGAGTGATAATGTGGCACTCATATGAAGAGAATTAACCAACTTTCATATATATAATTTTCTTCTAAATAACTAACCCATTCAACTCTAACCGAATTAAAATTATAGGATCGAGCCTTACCCTAAAAAAAAATGGGTCTTTGAGAGTCTTTTGTGGTTTCTTTTTTTCTAGGTTTTGTGTTGTTACTCTTGAGAAGAATAAGAAGAAAAAGACATAGAGAAAATGAAAGACTTGGTTTTTTGTTTGGGTACGATGGTGATCATGCTTATTGGTGTTGTTTCTCCAATGAATAATGAAGCTTTTAACTCTTTCGTAATGTCTTTTATCTGTTATTTTCAAAGTTCCGATTTTGAGTTTTGATAAAGTTTCAAAAGCTATCTTATTTTTTTCATTTGACGAACAAGCCACGAGATAGTTTCTGTGAGTTTGACAGGGTTTTTCAAAAGCTAGTAAAACATAGAGTCCTTCCTTCTAAATATAGTTGATTATTTGAATGCTTGTGAGAAATTCATCTGGAGACGTTATTCATCTAATGCTGACGTGGCATAATGAGAGAGATTTCTTAAAATGTTCATCTGGACACGTTGAGAGGCTTGAATGAATTTCTTTTATTAGTAAGAGATTTATAGTTAAGACTATTTTTGTAGAATTAATAAACTTTCATAATCTATTATAAGGTTGATTTTATTTATGTTGTTAATAGAAACGAAGACATGATTTTTTTTTCTCTTATTTTTTAAGTAAATTCCATTTTTACTTTGCTTTTTTTTTTAATTATTTTTTTTTAATAGTAATCAATCAGAATTTTGACTATCATATATACAATTTTGATTTTCATATATGCGACAATGATCCATTTTTAATTTGGATGTTTTTAGTAAGTAACTAAAATATAATTCATTTATTTCATAAACTCGTCATTTTAAGCAATATCCATTATTTGGTGATTTTTTTTACGTTAATTTTTGATTTAATTTTTGATATGCGCGGTTATACTTTAGGAATTACTCATAGAGAATTAATTTTGAATGATGACGTAATGTAAAAATATTGGTTATTTAAAACTATTTGAGAACAACCGTAGAAGATATGTTTGATTTCTCGAAAATATATATTCTATTTCAAATTATAAATTATTATTTATAATTACAACCACTACTTTAGTTATTTATATTAAACAAAAAAACATTTTTTATCTCTTTAATACTTTACTATTAACGATAATATCCGAAAAGCTTCTTTAACGTTTATTGATGATTATGTATAATTGGTAATGAGATCACTATGTTAGAATTAAGAAATTTTCTTAATCTATGAAACTAACTTATATGTATTTTAATATTTAAAGTATACATTTTTATTATTTGCATATGTTGTTCTCAAAAATTTTACATTTCTCTTCTTTACATATACATTGTTTTTTTTTTTCAAACAGCCCTACTACCTTTGGTTTTCAAAAGGCAAGAGCCTCTTAGATGCGACTTATGGAGCTTTGAGCAGATATTTTTTGTGGTCTAACAAATAACATTTTATGTTAATAAATGCTTGAGAATTCTCCAGCAGCCAGACATGTCCAAGCCATATATATGGCCTTTGATACAAAATCTAATATTGGTAAAAACTTTTCCGCAGTTGGCTGGGCTGAAAAAATATTGATTATAAGCTTAACAAATTTAGTACAAAATATATATGATATTTTGATGTAAGGATATGTAATTATGTTACTTGTATGGTTTAAAACTTTTCTAACTTGATTATAAGCAAATAAACTTGTCTATTAGAGAGGCCTCTAGTTCAGATCTCTCATCAACGTTATCGAAAATATACACATAAAAACATAGCAGAATCGTTACAAAGTTAAAATAATTATTTTGTCGATTAAAAAAATTAAATTTGTTTTTAACAAAAGAAAAATACAATTTAAATAGGGAAACCTAAGTATAAAAGGAAATTGATTTGCTAGAAAGAAGAAAAAAAACAAACCCTAAGTAAGTAGCATCTTCAGCAAGGTAAGATAGAGAGAAAGTGAGAGATCGATCATTGCGACTTCAACAGGTGAAACAACAAGTTTAACACATAAGAAAGTTAACGTGGCTACAGAAGTATTGATAGAATTGAGCCAATATCGAAGACAGTCACTAGAAGAAGAAGATACAGATGATGAAGAGGATATAGATGATGAAGACGATATAGATGATGAAGTTGCGTCCACTCCATTATTACAAGTAAGCCAAAGTCATCAAAAGCAGTCTAGGAAAAGGGAAGAAAAATCTGATAAAAATCAACCTAAGAGGGTTAAGAAACAGAACATCATGAAAATAAATATCAATGACTTTTCAAAAGAAACTCTGAGGTCAATTGAGGTATGGTACAAAGATAAACTCGAACCATAGGATATATTCGGCGATAATGAGGTGACGAGGCAATTCAGCAAACCGGTAAAGAAGCAGATATTCAAGTTACAATTCAGCAGACTTCCAATGAACCCGATGGAGACCAACATCTACTTATTGGAGGATTCCGAGCAGACCAAAAGGAGTTAAGCTAAGAAGTTAATTTTTTTACAGTTAATCTAGTGATTATGAGATCCTAATTGTTGGTTCAACAAACGCAATCTCAGGTTTCTCTCTTCAATATCTCCGATTAAATTAAGTTTGGTAAAGAGTTTTTGCTTTCAATTGAAGTCAAAGATGAAATTGTTGAGGTTACCACCAACTAAAAGAACTTAAAACAAACAATATTGTGTGTTCAAAGTTCAAACCCAACAAGTAGCAGGCGGCACTCGAGTTCTTTGTGCCAGGTGTCAGAAAAAAAGTACGCAATTTCCAAGCATCGTTGATGTCGAGCGACGTCGATAAAGATCAAAGCAGGCTCATGTTATCTAAGGAGCAAGTGAATGAGAAGATGCTTCCTTTTCTAGAAGAATCAGAGGATCCGGTAAAAGGGTTTGTTGTTAAGGTCTGGAATGGGGATAAAACACATGTGTTAACTTCGGGGTGGAATGAGTTTGTTGCAAAACATCGTCTTCTAATTGACTTCCAATTTTGTCAGTGTTTGGATGTTTAGGCACATAAAGAATCGAAAGATTTGCTTTGCTATTGAATACGTTAGTTTTCCTGTAAAGAAGATATTGAGTCGATGATCTTGAAGACTGCTTTCTTGAATCCAAATTATGGTTTTTGGTGGGAAAAAAACCCGAAAAAACCGCCATCTATTTTTAATTTGGCTGTTTAATACATGTACTTTTAAAATTGAAAAAAAAAAATACTTCGCTTATTTAATACTCTCTTTTTAAATATTCATGTTAAAACGGTTACTGGATTCCTACTTACGAGTTAACAGCCATTAACATGGTTGACGGAATCATTTGACAGTGTTAAAACTTTATCCAACGTGTTTAACTATTAGTTATATATAATCTGTTGACAACAAAGAACAATTATATTAACGTGGTCTGGTGGTAACGTAATTGTATTATTACCCATAGTGCGCGGGTTCAAATCCAGAGAAGTTCGTTTTTAATTTTTTTTTCCTCTTTCTCCCTCACAGGAACTCTAGCCGCCTCAACCTTCTCTCTACCTCTTCCTCCTGCTTCTTCGCCGCATTAGATTTAGTACCCTCTGCTATGATTATTTGATCTCGATTGTATTAGATGAGAATTGAATTGAAATCGTTAGGGATTTGATTTCCTTTAACTGCAACTTTTTATAAAATGAGAATTGAGAGTTGCGGTGGTCCTTGCCTACGAATCAAGGAGAATGCCGTCAGGGAACTTATGATTCTGGCGAGATGCAAAGGAGACGAAGCGGCGACGACGTTGCTTCTGGTGCAATCTGCGGAAGCTCGTTAATGGCAGCGAAGAAGATAATCGAATGGCAGCGAAGAATATAATTAGTTCGAATTTTTGGTTTAATCCAGTTAACAGAGAACTGAGCATGAAAATGGAAAAATAAAAATAATAACAAAGAGAAATGTGAAGAATCGAACCCTTGTTCTGTGGGTAAACAATACAATTACATTACCACCTGACCGCATCAACATAATTGTTAACCGTTGTAAACAGATTTAATATATATATTTAAACACGTTGGATGAAGTTTTAACACCGTCAAATAATTTCGTCACCCATGTTAACGGCTATTAATTCGTAAGTAGGAATCCACCAACCGTTTTAACATGAATATTTTAAAAGATAATATTAAATAAACGATGTATTTTTTGAATTTTAAAACTACACGTATTAAACGGCCAAAATAAAAATAGATGGCGATTTTTTCGGGTTTTTCCCGTTTTTGGTGTGGTTTTCGGGGTTTTTGTTTCTTTTTATTTTTCGTTGTTAAGTGTTAACTAAAGGAACTACCAGGATTATAACTAGGGTTTTCATTAAGGGTTTGCTTCGCTATTAGATCCACAAGGATCTTAAACGTGGATAATTGATACTATTTGATAAGTTAGAAAATGTGAAAGTACGTTTATCAGGTTAGGTGTTACTAACTTAACAATCGGAATCTAGGTGACTCTTCTGAAAATGCTCATTATGGTCAACGTACGTAGGTCCAACGTTTAGTTTTAAGCTTTGATCTAGAACAGCTGGTAACTAAGATGTATGTATCAAAGTTATTATATCGCACAACACAAGCTTTTTACATACAAAGTGAAATCAATGTAAACCGTTCTATACACATAATCTCACAAGATGGGAAAAAAACTGAGAAACAAAGAATAAAACAAAACAACCAACACAAGAAGAAGCAAACTGAATTGTAAGAAGAGGAAGAGAGCCAAGGGTGGTTAAGTACCTCGAGAGCTGTTGGACGTATCAATGGATTGATCTCAAGTATACTCTTTACAAAATCTAAGAACAATTCATCACTAACATGTAATTGTTCTTCCAAGCATAATTCTTCTGTGATTATGTATTCAATCTTATTGCTCTCCTATCACAACAACAAAACAACAATGTGTCACATTCAAGCAATAAGTCTTTTGAGTTTTTTTTTTTGATATATCAAAATTTTTTATCTCATTTAAGTGGTAGAGATCATACTCTTTAGTGAAGTATTTATGTGTCTCTTGACCTTTCTCTAGCATCTCTGTTTCTAGAAGACCTAAAACCGTAACAATCCGAACCAATATCATCGCTACTGCTTTGTTTGGAAACAGAACATGATGCACACATATATGTATATACACATTGATACATTTTATTTGTGTTACTAGTTAGTTTCTTCAGTATGTGAGATAAAGTTTTTGATGAAAACTAGACAATACCTCACCAGAGCATAGCTCTGCTAAAATACACCCAAAAGACCACAAATCAATTTTTCGTCATATGGAAGCCCGAGAATCACTTCAGGAGCTCTATAAGAACGAGATTGTACATACAAGTGCAACTACTTCCACGATCGATTAATTTCACCGCATATCTTTTGTAACTCTTTATAAGTATATTTTCATATTTGAGATCACAATGTATGACTATTTGTATTTGAAAATTGCAGAAAAAAATATTATTATTATTTTTGTTGCTTTTTATGTTCATTTTTGTGTGTGATATTATGTAATTAATAAAATCATATCTATTTTCTATAGTTATATTTTATGATTAGATTCATCTTTGATTCAAAATATAAATTCTACGTTTTTCATGTATAAATCTGATTATTTATATACCTACAAACCTAATCTATTACTATCATGAATACATACAATAACAATATACGATATATTAATACAATGGTATATGTAGTTATGTTACTTATGTTGTTTGAAACTTGTCTTACTTAATTCTAAACAAACAATTCTTTGTTCAATGTATTTTCTCGTTATCTAGTACGCCAACCACATCATGATATGTTAGTAATTTAAGTCAACACTTTAGATCTCTTCCCTTGCATATGGCCATATAGGAGAGAGTCTCGTGTTTTAAATTTTTTGGTATGTCTAACGTCTCAAAGGACCATTAAGTGAAAAAAAATTGTACTTCAATATTACCAACTTATCATAATGCACAAAAATGAAAAGAGAGAATGTCATATGATAAGTCTTATTCACAAACATCTAAACTACAACACAAGTAAGATTTTAGCCATTATCGAGTAATGACCATTGATAAAAAAAATTAATAAAATAAGAAGAGTAGAATGAAAGTAGTACTTGATACATTGGTATGATTTTTTACATTATTTTTTAGTCTTTAAAAATTAATTATGAGTGAGATTAGTGGAGAATTTAACACAACAATTTGTTTTTTGATATTCGCAATAGAATTTTTAGAAAGAAAATGAAAACATATAAGGATTGTAGGTGGAGCAGAATAGTTAGTTTGTTTTTGTCTTTACCATTGAAGAATAATATGAGCTTTGCAATTTTTAATAGATTTATTCTCTTAAATTGTTTTTGGTTAATGATACTCATTTTTCCCCATCATTAGAATGCTTAAGAGATTAAAACTTATTAAAAGAGATCTTCAACACATGGACATAAGTGAATGAATAATATGGTATCTCATATTAGGTCATAAAGGGAATAATACTCTTAGCTCATTCATCTAAATATTTTGTTGGTTTATAAATCTTAAAAATTCAATGGTATTAGTCATTATTTCTACTAATAATTATTCACAATCTCATAATTTATAAAAAAAAAAAAAGATAAATAGAAACTTATACTTCCGTTTAGATTTTCGAAACGTAAATGGTTTGAAATTTTATAATGTGAAAAGGTAAAAAAGATTTATATACCAATATAATAAATAACGTCTAATTACATCAAAACCAAAAATATAATTGTTGGGGTCGGATTTGACCCGCGCTAAGTCCGAGCTAAGACATAACACCTCGGGACGTATTACCAAACCAGCCCGTACTATGGCCGAGCCAAACCGTAACCCTTCGGATACATTGACAGCCAGCTCGGGCCATCTTCCAAATCGGCTCGTGATACACTGTCGATCTGGCTCGGGAACACTGACCAAATCGGCTCGGGGACGCCGGTTAGATTGGCTCGGGGTGCAAGGGCTCGGGGTGGCAGTAACGTTTCACCCAAATCCGAGCCGAATGCACATGTTGTCCCGAGGCAGTATCAAGCGTACCCGAGGCGATTCTTCGCTACTCCCCGAAGCGAAATATCAATGCTACTAGAGGCGAAATGTGTTTTGTACCCGAGGAGGAATGCAGAAGACCTTCCGAGGCAAGGACTTAGAAAATATTCGCATTCAGAAGTATCATTTCCAGGCAAGGCATCATTTCTGATATACCCGGAAATGATAAGGCAGAATCTTAAAGGATCAACTCAAATCAGGACATCTTCCAAAAAACTCCGAAGAATAAGAAAATTATCCTAATCCGCGATATTCTAGACGACTTCAAGATAAATGGAAATCTTCCGAGAATATCGCTGGAGAGGCGGCTTATCATCCCTATATAAAGAGACTCAAGGCTCTCACTTTAGGGGAGGCAATATCGCTCTAGAATTTACACTACAGAAAGCTCTTATAGCACAAACATCTTTTTCTTTTACGATCAAACTCTTGTACGATCAAAACTACTTTTTCATCAATAACAGCAAGAACACCATCTTTGGTTACAATTGTTTCTGTTGTTCTTCGAGAATTCACATTTATCGTATCCCTAAATTACAACCCTAGACAAATCTTGATTGTGTTAGTTTTGACTTCCACAATAATACATTTTGAATTAGGCGAGTAAGGAACAATAAACATTATCACATTATATAAAACACATAATCAAATTAGGAAAATGTATTACCTGGTCATTGGAACTGATGGATGAATGATCCATATAGGATAATCAGATTCAGCTTTAGGCAAAGCTTGATTGAGGTTCTTACTTGTTAAAACTTCATTCACTTTGTATTCATCATTTTCTCTTGAGATGTTGTCTTGCTCAACACATACCACAAATTGGTAAGCTTTTCCAATGATGTTTTTAACTACATCGGGAACTGGTAGGGGATCATCAAGCTCCTCTATATACTATAGGTATCAGATTATTATCTACAAAAAAAGGATGAAAATAAATGCAAATAATCACTAATTACCGCTTCATTTGTGCCTTCAAAGAGTTATACTTCTGCATTACATTTCTCACACCTGTATATTATCTTCTTGGCACCAGAGCTAAGAAGTTTCTTACTTTGAAACACTTTTCTAGTTACATTTGATGGGTGCATAATAGTACTAGGAGTATTCCAAGTTAATTTGCAAAATGGTTCAAAAGATTTTAACCTTCTCAACCTTGGAAAATAACAATGGGTGTTAAACATTTTATCCAATATTGACTACAGGAAGAATAATGCCTACATTAAAGCTGTGACAAATACCTCATAAGAGGCCTTAAGCTCGACAATAGTCTTGAGAGGTAACCCTAAGGACCTCCGTTCACGCACCCTGAGAGGCAGAAATCTAGGCTTAGGTTCCATGATAGTCAAGGCAAGTCCATCATATGGAAGCCTGAAACACCACAAATTGAAAATACCACACAAATTCCAGTCTATTACAAAAACAAAAGTGTATAAGATTCTTCTAGATGACTCATATTCTCTTAAAGTCATCAACTTCTTGCAAAATTGGGTTGACTAAAACATCTGAAGCATCAAAAGCATTAGAAATATTCCTACTCTCTGCAAGTCGTACTAGTAAACAAAGACAAATATATTATGTTGTAATTTTATATAGGGTCATGTTATTCACTAGTTATAACATTACATACCTTGGTAATGCCCTAATATGGTCCACCTTATCAAACAAATAACCATTCCACCAATAGACTCTTGCGACACTTTGCTAATTTGATCAGCAAACTTTTCCCATAATGAGCATGGTAGACGGTTATCACTATGCAAAAAAATATTACAAAGTTAAAAAGATTAATATAACCAATCAGCAGAACAGTTTTAATAATAATTATAAAAAAAAAAAAGCCCCAAAAACTTACTCAGTGTCTCTTAGCTGAAAATCAATCTTCTTGGTAGGCTTGGCTTGGGCATCAATGATTTGCATTTCTCCAACATTCATCAATTGACCAAGCACATCTACAACAGAATTAGTTATATAATATTATATACACACAAATAACTATAAATATTACTCACTTACCAATTTATTTTGATCCAAGTTACCAGCCAGAATAGTTATGTAATCAACTAAATCAAGTCAAACCTCATTTGAAATGGATTGTGAGGGATCGGAGAGAAGAAAATAGAGTAGTGAAAATTAATTATGTAAGAATGAGATGTTAATCAATATTACCATGTTGCCTTGGTAACTGAGAATTCCTCAATTATTTTTCAAATCCTTTCTTCACATACCTTTGGAATTCGCTAATGTATTCTTTTTTAATTTTTACTTGAATTTTGTTACCATGTAATTAAAATAAGAAGACTTAAACTTGCGGCACATATATTACAGAGATAATTGGAAAAAAATTCAATTATACTTACAGTCTCATCTGCCAAGATCATTTCCAAAGACATGTCAGAACCTTTTGTAAAATGATTCTACGAATAAAGAATCCTAACTTGAATACACCAAGATGTCTTGAAAGGCTTCAAGTTGTTGACATGAGTGTAGCGACTAACCATAACCATTTATTTTGTATTTTTTGCATGATATGAGAATGGAGACTGAGATGATTTCTGTGAGAAAAGTACTAATATTGCATACCTAACATGCTTATTTATAGTCATAAATCATTTTTGATAATTAGGAGATTCGCAAATATGTTAGCTTAAATTAGTTAGATAATATTTTGGAAAGGTATATTCTAGATTACTTGGAATTTAGAATCACAACTTATATAACATAGAGATTTGACATTCTTTATAAATCTTTTTAAGGAAACTAAATATAACTAAATAATGACAAATTGATAACGAATGTTTGTTATATTTGTGATTGGCCACCTAAATATTAGGTAATCTCTTTAATATCTTTAAACCCGTATGCCTCATTGACCCGTTTTATACTAAATTGGTTAATGTGAATGACGTAGAGTAAATATGGTTATGATTAGAGATTTATACTGGCATATATTGTAATTTCTTACAAAACTCAATTTTACAATTTATAGATGTACTTCCCAAATAATAGTATAGGATTATGTTAAGTAATTTGATTGGGTATTCGATAATTATGGGGTTACGTTGGGTTGGATTTTTGTGTTTGGTTTGTAATTGTTAGTTTTTTTATAGGGTTTTCGGACTTTGAATTAAAGGTTGTTAAAAAAATTTAAAATTACAATAATGGCATTCTTGATCAATATTTTGCAATTGATGGTTTTTTTTGGTATTGATCCAAATCTACGGAAGCTTCTTATAAATTATTAGTATTCATAATTAACTATCAGAAAATACTAAGCAACGAAATTTTTGTTTAAAAAAAAAAAGAAAAAGAAAAAAGGCAAGTGTTTATCAAAGCAAAAAAAAAGAGGCAGGTCTGGAAAAAGGCAAATTTTTTCGAAGACATCATTATAAAAGAAAGAATAGAGGCAAAACAATCTTCATTAATCCATAAACTTAAGCTATGATGAACAATCCTGCTCCTCTACTTGGTTTCAGAATTGCTCACCGTCAAGAGCAAGAAACAGACACGAAAGACTTGACGATCAACGTCGTGACAGAGATACTCAAACATGAGTTTGGTTCCATAAAAAGTTCATTCTCGTTCTCACCACAGAAATTCTTCGAGGAAGACCTGAAGAAACAAGAACTTTACTTCTTCCTGATAGCAGTTGGAATCGAAGAGGATGATGCAAAATTTATGATGATGGACATGATTTCTTACGTCTTGAGAAATATTGATGAGTTACGAGGAGTTTTGACACTGTTGTTCAAAGTTCAGTTCCCTTCACTCGAGCCAATAGAAGAGCACTAGTACGTATAGTTAGTTGAGCATGAAGCAAAGAGATTATTAGGGTTCTCTGTTTCTCTTTTAATTTCTGATTACTGTATAGTCAGATATATAATTTCTTATTATTGGATCATATATTTCTTGTCTTTGTCCGATCATAATATTAGTTGGGTCAATGATCGTCATATATTCTTGTACTAATTCCTCAGCTTGTTGGAAACCTTTATGGCTTAAAGCCTTAAACATAATTACCATCTAAACGTAAGAGAGAACAATTCCCAATTAACAATAAAATCCAATATATTAGATGTTCAAACTAGATTTCAGTTTGGTTTTGGTTCGGTTTCCGGTTTTAATCAAACATATCTTTGACTTGTTAGAATTAGTTTTCTAAATCAATTATTTTCGGTTTGGTTTGGATCGGGTCAAATCGGTTCGTCCGGATTGGCCATCTTTAATTCGAACCATCTTAAAAATTACACAAATTTTAAGTCAAAAAACACGTTACATAAATAGAAACTAAAAGTTGCCTAACGAAGTAGAACAAAAGATATGCATTACAAAAAACAGAAACGGAAAAAGGAAAACGTTTATATTTTCAAGAGTTTACACACTAATCTGCTTATCGAAGATCCAACTAAAGCAAACCTCATGGGGCTTCTTAAGCTTCTTGGCTCTCTCGTCAGCTCGCTCTTGAAGGCGTCTAATCCTCTGAGCTAACCCACACACAAACTCCTGTGCACGTTGACCCTCACCCGTCAATCCCTCTAGCTTCTCCAATCTCCACCGTCCAACCAAAAACTCCAAGATGTCAGCGTAATCATCCGCCGTGTAAACTCCTAGCCGTTGAGCCACGGCGGAGAAATGTTCGAAAAGCATCGGGTCTCGACCGTCTGTCATTAGATGAGCCGGCATTGTGATCTTCTTCCGCATCATGTCGGCGACGGCTGAGACTGCACCGTTAGGGTCGATCTCGAGGAGCTTTTCAACGATGCGTACGTAGGCGTTTTCATGGCGCTTCTCGTCGGCTGCAATGGTGCCGCAGATTCGAGCGAGAACAGGATCTCCGGCAGACTTGGCTAGCCGTGCGGTGTTGCCGTGAGACACGAAGGTGGCTCGCTCTTGGAATGACGTGTACACGAAACCTAAGTATGGATTGTTCTCCGTTCCTGGATCCTAAAAATTCCCAATATATAAACCTAACCCGAACCAACCAAAGCTAATCCGGACCAACCAAACGTAAACTAAACGAAAATATTTAGATTGAAATATGTTTATGATCAATTCGTTCTTTTATTTAGAAACAGATAAACCCAAAGCTAACTCTATTGTAAGAACTGCCAAAAAAAACCAGAATTTATTAAAATTTGATATATATTACATTATATATTACTAAATAATTCCCATCGAAGATAATTATTAATATATATTTTTCAGTTGATTTTCCTTTTTTTTTAATCGGCCAACCAAAAACCAAATTAAATTGTATCATACCAAATCGAAACAAACCAAGTGGCAAATAGTTTTGGTTATGTTTAGGTTTCCATATATAACAAACAAAAAAAAAAAAAACTTAACCAAACCAAATCAAAAACCGGAAAAAGGAACAAACCCAAAAACAACATAAGCATAACTACACCTTAAGAAAAATGATCTAAATAAATCAAAGAACTACAAATGATTAATCAAACTGCGAATAGTATAAGCATTTTCTTTCATCATAAAAATATAGAAAAAGAACTGACCATGCCCGAGCCGATGAGATACTGTACGGTGCGTTCAACCATAAGCATATCTACCCGACCAGATAAGTACAAGTAAGTCCGCAACAAATCACCATGACGGTTCTCCTCAGCTGTCCACGCGCGTGTCCACATGGCCCAAGCGCTCTCACTCGCGCCAGTCTCGTCCCTTACGCCGTCGAGCGTGTTGATCATCGTCTGGTAAGTAGGCAACGCGTCCTCCGTTATCATATCTCCAACCAACACCACGAAGTATTCGTCCGGCAATGAGGCCGTTCTTTCCCTCAGCTCACGCACCTATCCATTATAAATAAACATTTTAACATCTAATCATTTATTTGGTTAGTCTTGGTTAAGGTTGGTTTAATGTGCATATATATACATTTCTTGACAAAGTTATAAACTATGTAACGTATACTTCTTCATAAATAAGAGAATGACAAGATATATATGATGTATATAACGAACCTGGTCGGTGAACTCGGAGAAGGGTAAGGCCGGGTCGGGTAAGAAAGAAGCGGGTTGCCAACATTGGTCAACCGGTTTGAGAAGAGGCAAGATTTGATCCTTGGCCCATCCATCTAAAGATTTGAAAATCTCCATTTTCTCCGGTGGCATGGTGTGGATTTTGTTTTGGTGTTTTAGAGCCGGCCTCACTGGTGCTGCCACGGCCGAGATCTTGGCCGGTCGATGGGGGCGAGAGGCGAGAAAGGTAGACGGAGATGACATTAGTGTAGGCCATTGGGTGGTGTGGGAGAAGAGAGACTTGTGCGTAAGCATTTTGGATGGTGGAAGAGAGAAGACTTCAACTTAATTTGGAGTTCTTTGAAATTGACGACTACAATCGAGTGTGGACTAAATAGTCAAAGAGTGATGAGGGTATAATAGTAATTTGGTTGTTGGCTGGTGTTTGTTAAACAAACCGTGGGGTGAAACAAGGGGTACTAACTGGTTTGAGATTCTGTGGGTTTTGTTTAAATAGTTAAATTATCCCATTTAAGTCTAAACTTGAGAGTAATATATTTTTTTTGTCTTTTGATTTCTCCATATTTTCGTTTGAACTTTGACTTTTAATTTATTATATTTGCAATTTTTCTATTTCTTCATGAAAATTTTAAGCTCTTGAATAGTAAATTTTTGATCTTGTTGTTCTATTGTCGTATATACATTCTCCTTAATATTTTTAAGGGTTAATTTAATCTAAATACATAGAAGAGTAGTTTATTAGTTTTATAATATTGATAATTTAAAAATTAAATAAGTAGAAAAGAGAAAATAAAAGTAAACCATAATTATCCTTCTCATTTAGTTTAATTACATAAATGACATTGACATAATAAACTCTTTTCTGACATGCTACAAAATATGATATCGCGATAAGTTTATTTATTTTGTGTTAAATAAATGTTTATCGATTTGAAATTATGAATCAATATTTTTTTATTTATGTATATATCACTACAATGAAAAAATTAGATTTTTTTAATATATAATTAACATGATAACAATTATAACAACATGTTAAATAGAATAATAACGTGCTAACATATTAAATATCCAAATAACAGTTGTATGAACATGGTAAGATAGTCGATATGTGGATAATATTTATATTAACATGTAACTTACACATAATATTCATCAATAATAATTGATAAGGAAGTTAACGTGATAACAATGAAAATAACTAACAGTGAAATATAATATGTTTTGTGATCACCGACAAGATAGACGGAGAAGACGGTGGCGCTTATAAAACTTTTTAGCTCTCGCATCTTCTCCGACGCTATCACCATAAAATCCGTTAGCTTGCCGCATCTCTCTGACGCCATCTGAATCCACGATTCCATTCACGGCACTTCTTTTTTTTCCAAAACTCACTACCACCAATAATATAATCATCACCACTATCATCGTAAATATCATCTCCACCATTGTTAAGAATGCAATTATTTTAAATAGAAATGAACACCACTTACAATCACCACCTCGGCAGCCGACACGTAATCGAAACAAGAATCACCACTACCAATTGTCTTTCTCCAACATAAAATCAAATTGACCATGTAAATTTTCAAACATACACGTTTGTTCCAAAATTTTCATGATAATTTGAGAATCTCATTGATGGAAAAAAAAAAAAAAAAGACAGAAGAGGAAGAAGACATAAAAGAATAAACGAAAGAGAAAAAAGATAAAAGAGTAAAAAAAATAAAGAAAAAATAGAGAGAAGGATAGTGACGTAACTTTATATGTTTTTGAACTGTGTAAATAGTGACAAAAAGTATCACCTAATTATTGGTCTTCCATTGTCCCGCTTGTAAATACTCTATTTTTAATGGAATATTAGTTTTAGTGACTGTGTATACGAGAATGCCAGTTGTACGTAACTACGTATATATCGAGCCATTGGATCTTAGAGCATCTTCATCGATTAGAATTCATGTTAATAAATTATATCAACACGATTAGCAATTCAGATGTACACATATACGATTATTACCTTGGTATTTCTTAATTAGGATCTCTAAATCTAAACAAAATAGTTCTTAAAGTTTAGAAGATGAAGATTATCATGGTTTATTATATATGTATAAATTTGGTGATCCAGAAGAGTCAAGAGAAAAGAAAAAATTTGTATTCAAATTTGCGTGTAAAATATTATTTTTCTCTTTCTTTAGAATCTTTAACACAAGATTTTTGTTTTCTATTTCAACTTTTAGCTGTGAGCTAAGACATTCTTGGAGCTCAGGTTCTAGCTGAGTCTCCCCCTGTGTGCATCATGTCTGGTATACCCAAGATCGAATCTTGTCTCTCTGGCAAGGAGTTGGAAGAAGCAGACGACATAGTCATACTCCCCGAAGAAGACAATTCATCTCAAATCGCCAGATACAAACATAGTCTTGTGGGCATCAAGGTGGAAGAAGCATACACGCTATGCTGGCTCCTTTACCAAAACAAAACATCAGGAGTTTGTGGTATTTCCCTTGGTTAATCAAGATTCCAGTCATTTCAATCACTGGTCTTTCTCCCTCAAGAGATCTCTTTGAATACTTACCCCAATACAATAATAACCTTGTGGATAAAACCCGTTGGAATCCCATCTATGTACTAGTTGGAGAACACTTTGAAAGCTTTTGGCGACTCATTGGGTAAGTATCAGGCTGTGGATGCCCCATTTGCTCGAATTCAGGTTACTATCAGAGCCCGAAAACAAACTCAGATCCCTTGTGGAGATGTTATTTGGGTCTTGCTCAAGTATGAAAAGTTGTATAGGTGGTGTAAGCCCTGCCACCGCCTGTGCCATGAAAAGCACTCTTGTCTTCTTTGTGTGGCTTGCCCCCAGAAGATTGCTCTGTTGGCCTTTCTCCTAGAAGGAGTGCAGATGGTGGCCTTAATGAGATTGGAGAGAGCAGAGACCCTCCTATTGTGCACAGTAGTAGCAGAGCCCAACCTTCGTGGTGCAGTCACCTGCCAATGATGGTACTAACCTCTCAGCCTTTCGCCTGCACTCTGAGATTCTCACACGAAGTAGGACAGGGAATATAAGTAAGCAAGAAAGGGATCCTCGGAAGGCTAGAGCTGAAAGGGTCCATTTTTCTCAAGGCCCCAAACCTAATTTGATGACTCGGGATCCTCTGCACCAACGTAAAGAGAGGCAACATAAGAGGAGGTTTGATGATAGCTTTCCGATTGATTCTAGACAAGTAAGAACAGAGCTGCAACGGTTCAAAGAAAGTTAGTCCCAAACTCTGTTGATAAGGAAGATGGAGATTCTCAATCTATCCTATCTGACTCCCAAAGAACTATATCTCTCTTTAGCTAGGTCTCTCTCAAGACTGAGACAATGATTTCCGAGGTTAGAGCATATTGTTTGTTTGATTGATATATTTCCGAGAAGAGCCGAATACCACCTGGAAAGCATTATGAACGAAATGGGGGTGCTGAGTCTAGTCAAAGAGTTCCTCCTGCAGACGTACAATCATGTGGTGATCCAGATTCCGTGCAGACAATAGCTGGAAGTACAATGTTGCAATTTGCAAAAACTAACTATACAACTTGAGCAAGTATGTTTGACTTTCTTTTGTCGCTCTACCCATCTCTTCTTCCATTTTCATTTAACTACATAGGTTCATTCTTTGGAATTTTTCAAATTGTTTTCTCTTCCAGCCGTAGCCTCCTTGAGAAGAGACAGTTCTTCCACTCTCATCGAGCTCAGGTGATCTATTTTTTTTAGCTCTCTTGCAATTGATTGCTGATGATGTGTATTATCACAGCCCATGGCTCTAGAACAAGTACTTTCTGACCGAGATAGTTGAAGATACAAGGGTATGTTTTAGAGTTTAACATTTTCATCGCTTTAGGTTACTTTTATTCAACTCAGATGTGCTGGATAAAGCTCAGTAGTTTGGTAGATATATGCTTCGTGTGAAAGGGAAAGGAATATTGAAGACTGGGGCATAGGCAAATGTTTGATAGGAGCAAAATTGTTATGATAGAGAGATATCAAAAGGAAATACACGAGCAAGCCTCATGGTCTGATATGGAACAGTAGAACCACATCTGCTTATATTATATAACACTGGTTAAAGGACCAAGTGTTTCTGTTTGTTCTCGGTTCTAACATAGTTTGTCTGGTTCTCCATTAGTTTACAGCGAATAAGTTTTCTCCTTGCAAGATGCTATGATTTTATGATATGGACTCTAGCTCAATAACAATTATCATTAAGGGATTATTGCTTAATAACAATTAATACATCAAAATTTAAACATAGTTCTTGTGAACTAACCAATAAAACAACTCCAGTCATTGATATAAAGTAAAACAAAACTGATTTGATTTGGATGATACAAATACACTGGAAATTTCAAAAAAAATCACGAAGCAACACTTGTTGAGATTCCTGAGGCATTGTCCCAAGCATATCAGAGAATATCAGCAAAAGCTGTTGGCATGCATCGATCTTTTTCGGATCTGTGGCTGGTCCCGTTGAAAGATCCTTCCATCCCTGATAATACGACCTATGGAGAAGGATTCATGTTACGGTTTGGAGTGAAAAACAATGAAAGCTTTGAAATGATGAACAAACAATAGATGAATCGTTTACCATCTCCAGACCGGAATAGCTTCAGGGGGACAACTAATTCTAGAACACAAAGATCTGATGAGCTTGTAATCACCTTCGGACTCTGTATCTATGCAGAAAGAGAGAACAATTTCAGATTTAGGTTGGCAGAAACGTGCAGCTTTAACACCTACAAACAAGACTGTCTATATAAATTCTATAGTTTCAGATTCTTATGACCTCTAATCAACTGAAAATTCAAAGCAGAAACATTTCAAACCTACTTCACCAAAGAATTCAATTCTCAATCAAAGCCAAGTAATCTGGAAATCAAGAGTTGTTTAACTCGGTGAAAAGCAGCATACCTGCAGTCAAGAAGAGGCCATTGCGAAGAAGCATGAGAGAAAGTGCAAATACAACAGAGGGAAGAAGAACCATGTTGTTTGTACACAGAAGCTTTTGGAGATATACGATTACTTCCCCTAGTATGTGCTCCGATTTTGTCATGCTGCCTTCAATATTCCTTTGCTTCAAGTATTCCAACAAAGTTTCTGGCTTTGTTTCACTCAAGACTGTTGAGTCCAAATCATTAGCTTCAGAATAAAGCTTCCCAAGAATCACTGAAGCTAACAGCCAGCGTAGAAACTTTGCTACCATAGTTTCTTCTTGTGCTTCTTCAGAGTGTGTTTTAGTATCTTTATGAGGCTCACTAGGCTTAGATCCCTTTTTAAAGTCACTCTTCAAGGCTGTGGAGCTTCCCCAAAAAAGAAACCTTCTCAGCTTGTCCACGTCCTGAAAAGATATCATCGTATCAAACAAACACTTTTTTAAACTGTTCAAAACCAAAATTGGACGGATGCTCACAATAGTTGGAGAAAGAGAGAGAGAGAGGGAGAGAGATACCATGCATATTATGTCAATTGGCGGGGTGCTCATTAATATAACATCAAGCCCACGCTCTACACTAGCTTCGACTTGAGGAGAGTCGCAATTAGCAACTGCCTCAAAGAGTTGGAATATCCCCTCGATTGTGATGGTGAAATGTGGCTGGTACAGTTTCCGTTTCTGTGATATCTTTAGAGTAGCAGATAGTATCTGCAAAATCAAATCCACCAAAGTACCATTTTCTTTCATTGATACCAATCCACCACCTAAAAATCTGTATAAACGCGACGAGATTTCCATTAGCTCTTCGAGGGCAGATCTTTGCAACCACTCTGTGACGTTTCTGGAGGCGAGTGTATCAGTTATGACCTGGTACAACAATATCACAAAGCAAATTCAATTAATGAATACAATATTCTAACAAAGGACCCTTGACGCCAACTAGACAACAATCATGGTTGATCACTGAGGAATTCGATTCAGTTTTGCGTTCATCATCACACTATAGATTTTCATTAGCAAAACAATGTATCTATCATTAGTTATTTTTAAAAGTTGAAAATCAACTAATATCATTACTGGACTAATACCTCCAAGACAGCTACCAAGCGCGAATCTTCATCTCCAATGGGCTTTGTAGCAAACATTGAGATAAACGATGAACACCATAACAAAAGACCACAGTTTTCAACTAGATGTCGGGCTATCTTATGGAACTTGACTGACTTTCTCACAACCTGAAAAGTGAAAGAAAGACGGATTTTATTGTTTTCATTATGAGCTCAAAGGTGGAGTACAGATACCCCACAACACAGAACGACCAAACAAATATGTTCTCAGAATTAACCTTCTATATTAATGACACTGAAGAGGCAACTGCATATAGGTGCAAGATAAACATTAAGTGACATTAAGGAAATAAAGTATCACCTGAAGGATTAGTCCTTTAGTTTCATCATCAGCAAGAGGGGATGAGGAAAAACTCATTAATGTATCAAGGACAGAGTTTCTTATGTACAATTGAGCATCGTCTTCTGATTCCAAGCCCACACACACTAGGCGAAGTTCCCAAAGCCTCTGTGATCGAAGGACAACAGTGCTGCTCCAGAAAAAGTCATAAAACAAAGGTATTCCCTACCAAAAAGAAAAATCAAAAACAGTTTGAATGCTGGCAAATTGTTAGGGACAAAAGACAAGAGTTTTACAGTTTTCAGCGAATAATTAAGTACCTTCAGGTTCAGAGTAGATGAGCTCTTCAAAAGTTTATTTATGGGAGCATAAAGTTCGTGAGAAGAATCCAACAATATCAGAGACGTCACAGCAGCAAAATAAGCACAAACTGTTGGGATTCTTTTCCACCGTTTGTCAACTCCATTTTCCACATGCATCAGCAGAAGCATAAGCCCCATTACATTCTCATTCTTCTCACATCTCTACATCAAAAAGTTTTAGTTAAACAAAGAAAAAATACTTGCATGTGTCCACAGAAGCAATGGAATAATCGAGAACAAATCTGATCAGTGAGCCTTTGCAAAACCAATTAATTAAAGAAGCAAAAAGGATTGGTAGGCTAAGGACCCATAACTCCAAAAACTTAAATACTTTTGCTAGCTAGTTGCAATTACAAGTCCTCTGTTCAGATAGGGTATACCCAAATATTCCCCTTTTTAATATCCTTTCCCATTTTGTGTACCATTTAAATTACTGAAACTACCAGTTACTACTGAAGGAATGATAATATCTTAGAGATTCTGAGGAGACTTTGAGTATCAAAACAGGCTATGCATACAGATAAGAAAAACACAAAATAATTATTACCTTAAGGGCATGCACAAATATCCCAAGAGTTTCATAGCCCAATTTTCTCATCCCAAGATCTGCTGAAGACGTGCTCGCTAACGCAACTGCAAGCAAGCCTGAACTGGCGAATTTTACAGGTTCAATACATCCCATGGACAATGAGTGTATTGAGAATGGCAGGATGTAAGCCGGATCATACCGTTCAATAACAGGTGAGCATTTCTACACAGGGAGGAGGGATGATTACTTTGAACGTTGTTTGAAAATGCAAATACAAGAACTTTTAACTGGAAATTAAAATTAAACACGCGGGTACCTCGCTTACTGGATCATCAGATATGTAAGAGTTATCCGATACCTCTGCAGTTCGTTGATAGGGAAAATACAAAAGAGTTTGAGCACATATTTTGGGATCAATCCAAAGATTCTCTTTGAAAAGAATCTGCTGGAGATTTTCCACCAAACCAGCTTCACCACCATAATATGCATCCTGAGAAAAACGCAGTCCCTCTCTTATTTTCAAGGCAGCTTTACCCCACAAATAATCTGTTTCAGAAACATTCAGCCTCTGTTCGTCCTCAATCAACTCGATATCATGCATCAACTTGTAGAGCTCTAAGTCAATTTCGCTCATAGTTGCACCATAAGAACACAAAAAAAGAAAGCGCAGCTCTTTCAGATTGATCCCCGAACCTTTTCCACATTTGGAAAGCAGCACTCTGAGAATTTTGACAATTTCTAACTGCTTCACATAGTCGGGTGCTTCGAGACAACAACTTCCAACTCCAACAGAATTTGGACTTGGGATGCTAAGATGTTTTAGAATGCTGGAGACAGGCCTCAATAATTCACCAGTATGCGAGGCTGATAGGATGGTTGGTGTAAACTGAGAGTGAGATACCAGGAGTTGGATATATAGTGTACATGAGTACTTTCCTCTCGACAATAAGGAGAAAATGTCCCTCAGTATCTTCAATGTCTTTGAGTCCTCAAATCTATACAGGAGAACTGATTTCATTAGTTTCTCCAAGAAAGGAAGAGAATCCAAGTTAATAAGCTCCTCACACATGTATTTCAAAATCTTTCGAATACTTCTCAAAATGAAGTTTTCAAGGCTTTTGCACAGGAACCAACATTTGTCTTGTTTTCTTTCAGAATTCCCTTTAAAATAACCATCAGATCTCTTGACAACACATGGCCAACTTTCAACTAAAGCATTTAGTAAACTCTCTCTGCAGGATCCCATTTCTGGAAAACTTTCCCTTGCACAACTAACAGCTTGACTTTTAAAATGACATATACTGCTATCCTCAGGAAACAAACAGATCCTTGAAAATTCTACTTTTGCAACTACACGGATAGCAACATTAAACATATAGTGTACTGACTGAGCGTCCATTTCTTTTATCTCGTAATCAAACATCTCTTTGCCAGCACTAGCGTGGGGAAACATGGAATAGAATACCTTTAAGAGATCGTCTATTTTAGTTGGACTTTCATTCAAGGCAAAGTGACACTGAAACATACGTACTGCCATCCCAAGAAGACTCGCATTAAACATAGTGTCAATATCCTCAGTTGTCGACATAAGAATCTCTTCATACTTCTCTTCAAAGATCCACCCAGACAAAAAACTGGGCCACTGATGAAAACCGTTTGTTAGTTTATTTGAATAAAGTGAAGTTATATCTAAACATCTACTACACGGCGTCTCGATTTTTGCATAAACTGATGCCAGATACGATAGCACGGCAGGCGGAAGCATGATAAACTGATCAGAGCCATCCTGTTGCTTACTTAGCATACTAAAGAAAGAGTGTCCAAAGACTGACAGATGCAAGGGACTGGACTCCACAAGATAGAACAATATCTTGGCTCTGGTCATGCTTGGCTGGTTAATATAATGGATAATCAAGTCTTTAGGAGTTCTCCCAACAATCTGTGAAATTATCACGGTCAATGGATGAACATTGCAATGCCGATTATGTTTCCCCCTGAAAATGCTGCTCCCAACTTTAAGCAAACAAGTATCTGCCGAAACCAAACCAAAAGAGGTAGAAAACCTGCATGCCATGCTATAGACTTCCTCAATGAGTATACTGTCATAATTCTCTTCTTTTAATTCCCACAGCAAATCATATAACCCTCTCTTAGCAGCCGGCAGGTGTGAATAAGATATAAGCATTTCAAAAGCTCCGCCAGCAATATCCAATCCCAAACTGATAATCATACTCGAATTTGGGCTAGCCAATTCTTCCTCATCAATTTTACTCAGCATGGAACGGGCTAGCTCTAAAATTTTGAAAGGTGAAATAAATCTCAACAACGCATGAATTAATTGTGATGGTTGGAGAAGCGGAGCGTAACTTTGAGAACCAACACAAAGCTCAAACTTGTCTCTGAATAACAAAAGAAGCCTTTGCACCAAGTCCTTAAAAACCGTACTTGACTTATTTTCCCTGAGATCTCCTTCCTGCACAATGTGTCTCTCATCAAACAAAAAGTGCTCACAAATAGAAACCAATAGATCAAGGATGTGTTGATCTATTTCACAAATAACTAGCCTGCTCGTCGTCAGCGACGTTTCTGAAAAAATCTTAACATTATGCACTGGAGGTAATGTGCCACAATCCAAGGGACTCTCCAACAGTGCCATCACAACTGGATGGCAAAGAACTGTCTGGGCCACTTGATGCTTCCACTTTGCAAAAGGAGCAACCAACTTATCTGAAGAAGGTCCAGAAACAAAGCCCCGTTCTGATATTTGCGAGAACAAGTGCTTCAAGAGACGTAAGCAGATCTCAGAGAGTCGACAGAGTACCGAAGCTGGTTGAATCTTGTAAGATGATCGTATTTGGAAGAGCCAGAATAGTATTAATCGGATATCTGATTCAATACTATCACTTTTAGGTTGCCAAACTTGCAGCAGTAGCTCTGCTAATCTTGGAAACTCTGGCACGCAAGATATATCCATGCTCATAATTTCGTTAAGTAATACTGGAAAAGGAGCCTGCTCGAAGAACATAGACAAGGCAGAAGAATAAATATCACGAATCTCCATCTTACTTTTGATTGCTTCAGTTACGGATGAGTAGTCAGCAAAATCAATCTCACTATCTACTATTCCTTCACGGAGATTCCTTGACCTAGTAAGTTCTAAACCTCTCACAAATAAGTCAGGTGATAGCTTTGAAAGGTTTCCGAGGAAGTTTTCCTCTAGAAAGACGATGGACTGTAAAAATGAGAATGATGTTCCATATAAATCCCAAGAAATAGCCATCACAGAAGCAAAATTCTCCAAAATTGATTCAGGTGTTGCACATATCAATGCAGAAGAAAACGCTTTAACGATTCCTGCGATTTCATCCAGAGAAATACTTCTTCTCACCAGTCCTTTTATCTCATCAAGAGAATCTGCAAAAGAAGTGTCAGCAAGTAAACTCGTTGTCCTTCTGGAATGTAAGATGAAAGTTTTTTTGTCTGACAAAGATTGTGAGAAAAGCAGCAACATCCTCAATGGCCTCCATTCACATAAAGAATCCTTAGATCCATCAACCACCTCAGACAAAACTGACTGGACCAAACATGAGAGTCCACTGGAATCTACCTACAATATTCAATTTATAGAAAACGAATTGGTGTCTTAAGCGGCATAAACTAGAATATAAACATATCGTATGGCATAAGATATATGTATATATGTACCTGAGTTTGCAAAAGATATTTCAATGTGCTGCAGACGTACAGAGATATTGCTGACTTGTCTGGTAAAGAATATTTTTTAGATTCAGACTTAAGCAGCCTAACACAGTTCTCCAGAATACAAACAATTAAGGGGCTAAAACCAATTGAGTCACCTGCAACCAACACAGAAGATACGCCAATCAATAAATTCCTCTAGGCTTATCACAGTCCAAAGGACAAGTAACCAGGATTAAACTAGCTTGAGATTAACCGAAGTTTGAAAATTAAAAATTTTGCCATAAATTCATAAGATAATTGCAGAGACATATAAGATAACCATCTTTGTGCAGACAACAAATTTGCCACTCAAAACCTAAAACAGTATAATGGTATGTCTAAACAAACATAGGAGCAACATATTATACAATTCAGAAGCTAAACCTAAGCAAAAAGAGTAAACACGTGCAATCTATACAGAACCATAAATTTTGAGCGCACAAAAAAACTGTACCTTTTAAATGGGACAATCTACTTCTGACAATTTCCCATTGCTTGAATAAATTATTTCCAACAGTCGTAACTGCATCACATAAAAAGGAGATGACAACTGATGACATGCTCTGTACAGCCTCCTGAACCATAAGAGGTGGTTTAATCTTTCCAAAACCTGGTAGAAACCGGAACCATGCCCCAATTTCACTTGGATTTTTGTCGAATGCACCGGTGCTGCTCATAGCTACCAGTGCTAAATTATACGATAGATCCTTCACCTCGTCGTGTGATGAAAAAGGTAACAAATTAATGAATACATGCAAATGCTTGAACATGAGTGGTGGAATTCTTGTAGGAACACTCTCTCTCTCACTTTGGGACTTTGGCGTCCAACTGATGTATTCATTTACCAAAGACAAGTGAGCTCTCTGCAATTCGGCTGGCAAACCTGAAGAAGTGCTCAGAAATTTCATGAAGACATCAAACGATCCTTCAAGGATATTAGGCACAGAACGCTGCAAAGATGAAAAACATTTGTACTACTAATGCGTAGACATATTAACAGTAATAAAATAAACTAAATTACATTGACAAAAGAAACAAGAAATTGGACCAAAACTGAGTAAGCAAAGCTATATCACTTCTCTAGTTGTCTAGAGGACAAACCACTACAACTCAAAAATCAAACTTCAATCAGGATAGTATACTACTCTCTTGCAAGAACTTCAAAACTAAAATTTGAGACACGAGGGTTTAAAGTACAATGCAAAACAATAAGAAACCCTGTTGTTATTAAATATTCTTAAGTGAGTAAAAGGGTTAAGCGTTTTCATTTATCAACAACACAACAAAACTAATAACGCGAAAAATCGACGTACCATATAAATCCTGAGGGTATCCAGGAGCTTAATGTGAAATAACATCTCTGCTTCTTCGACCGAATCAAAAGGCTTAGACCAAAACTCTGAACCCCAAATTTCTGAAACAATCCCAAGATATTCTTTTTCAGCATCTGCCTGATCTGTCATCTGAGCATCCCCAGTATCCTCTTCCAAAAAGAAATCTTTATCAGAACCTACCCCACAAATGACGATATCACCAGCCTCTTTTTCCAAAACACACTTCTCAGATGGCTTAAAGCGTTTTCTTTTTCCTACTAATCCACTATCCAACACTGCTTCTCTTTTCAAAGGCAGCTTTTGGGTTTCGCTAGAACCGCTCAGAGACTTCAGTACAGTCAAAACACCTGGGCATCTGGAAAAAAGCTTCTCACCTCACCCATGACATCCCGCTCAAGAGAAGCCTGAATTTGCTCAACAGAGCAGCTATGAGACGAGCGAAGTTTCCAAGCGGTAACAAAAGAATCCAACAGCCTCAGCGTCTCCCAGAGAAATCTCAAAGTCCCATGTTTCACAAGTAAATCAGAATGGAGCATCCCTCTAGTGATCAACGACCGGCTAAACGGTCGAGGGCATATGCAATTCATGATAGTCTGAATTTCTGAACCAACAGAATCTTTAACAAGGATCTTGTCCTTCAACGTAGACAAAACATAAGCCGCAGTGTCTTCATCGTCTTCCCCAAGGCCTTTTAGGACATTAGAATACATTTTCTTCTGCCATAAAATAGAATCTGACAAATGAGGTTGCCCAACTTCAAGGAATGATATTGCAAACCCAACAACTCA